GCTGGGCTCGCAGGTGTGCACACCACGTCCTGCTCTAGATTCTCTACTGTGTAATGTAGGAGGCCACAGAATGTAGCATTTCTTAGCCTTCCTTCTGTACTTTTAATGGTATAACTCACACAGTTAGGGTGCTCAGAATTTTCTTTAGGAAATAATTCTGTCTCTATTTGGCTTTTCCATTTTAACAGTGAGGAAACTTGCCTATTGTTCTTCTACAAATTTATACCTCCAATACTTGATGAATACCTCCTGTGGTTAGACACTGCTTGCTACATGTAGGAATAAAGTGACAAGTGGAAAGAAACAGACTTGGAAGTTGTTAATATTCTCTTCCTAGGTAGAGTGGGAGATACAATACCAGCACTCATCAGCTAATCACTGGAATTAGAAGTTGTGAGAATGGGGCTGGCGAGATAGCTCAGTGGACTAAAGCACCTGCTTAGGCAAGCTTAGGCAAGCACAGGGACTGTGGTTCCATCTGGGCACCACGTGCCACGCCAGTCCTGCCCCCAGGGAGGGCTGAGCCAGCCACGGAGTCTGGGTATAGTGGCACATGCTTGTAATCCCAACCCTGGGGAGGCTGAAAACAGGAGATTCACCATGAGTCTGAGCTGCGTAGTGAAACCCTGTAACAACCAAATACATTTAAAAAAGAAAGCAAAAGAAGTTGAAAGAGTGGTTCGTAGGAAGGTAAAAGAGTGCTAAATCACTTATGTTTTGGTTGGCCCATTTTGAAAGCTCTGCCTGGCCCATTTATGTCTTCCTTTCAGTACTGCTGCTTGCATTCCTGTACTGCAGATGGCTGGAGCTGAAGATTGTCAGCCATTTGCCAACCTTTATCATCCTAGAGTGTACCGTATCGAAGATAGCTTTTAAAACATGAATAGCCTCCACTTAGCATGTAGCACATAGTAGGTGCTGTATCTCTTGATGGGCCAAATAAAGAGTATATGAATGTGCTTAGAAAGATCAGGGGCCGAAGGATATGCCCAGTACTACTGTGGTCTTATCTCCCAGCACCCTGACTCCCTGTGCTGTTGTGGGAGGGCTCAAGCCTTGTGACTTGTGTTTTGTGTTCGTCTGCTCTGACGTATCCCCATGTTGGAGGGAATCATTGGCCCTTTCTTTCTTTCCCTGTAGGCAAAGCAAAATACAAAATGGAAAAATGTATCCTGTAGCATTGCCCACACATGGGGGAGAATCTTAACACATCACACTATTTATATGAATATGTTTAATCAAAGGATGTGCTGTTGATACAATTTTTTTTTTAATGTATTTAGTAGAGTCTGCGGGGTCTCACTGTAGTGATTGATCCTCCTGTTTTCAGCCTCCCAAGCACTGAGATTATAGGCAAGTTCCACCACGCCTGGTCTCAATGGTTGTCTCAGCACAGCATGCAGGGGATTGAACCCTGTCACTGAGTCAGCCTAAGCAGGTGCTTTAATCCGCTGAGCTATCTGGCTGGCCCAATACAATGAAATTGATCTTCTTGTGACCTGTGACTGCCTAGATAGATGATCATAGTTTTGGAACAGAATAGCTTTCGAGCGAGGACTTTTGTGAGAAGATTAGGCTAGTATTTAGTTTGAAATTTCATTCTGTGCAGTCACCTACAGTCCCTTCTTATGTGTCTGTTAACCTGTGCTTTTGCTTTTTGATGTGTGGCCGCAGCCTTCGGGCTGGATGAACTCCGGGAAGCATAAATTCTCCATTCCCCTTGTCTCTCTGTGGATAGATACACAGGAAGCATTTAGCATTTCAGGTTATCTTCTGGCTGGGGCTGTAGGCTTCTCCAGCCACCTCAAGCTCCAGTTACGGGTCTGAAAACTAAGAGGCTTTCGAGACACCCAGGCTTGAGCCAGAGTCGCTTAGAGAACAGCATGCATCTGGGTTGCTGAGTTTTCCCAGGTGTTGTTCTGAGACTGAATTAAGACAATTATCAGGGAGTTTTGGATCTCTTGATTTCATCTTTGTGATGCAGTTAGAGTTGCAGCAAATCATGAATTGCTAATATTTAAACTTTCTTTTCTTTGTAAAAATAATTCACACTAATTATAGAAATTTGGAAAAATATCAAAAGGCATAATGCTGAAAATTACCCATAATTCTGCTACTCAGAAATAATCACTGCAAACATTTTGTTCTATTTGCATGTATTTTATACATAATTAAGTGATTGTGTATAAATTTTGACTCTACTTTTTTCATTTAACTTATGAATACTTTCTCCTGAATTGAAAGCAGCACAGTACAGGGCGTGAATGAGTTTCCTGTAGCTGCTGTGACAAATTTCTATTAGCTAAGTGTAACCGCTTACCAGTCCAATTATGTACATACAGGATGACCAAAAATAGCATATTTTTTCATTAATTTTTGTAAGATAATATAACAGGGAATACATAAGCAATAATTGCATCAAATTATTGAATATAAGAATTGACTGCTTGACAGGACACCTGCCTGAGTGAAGCAGGGATAGTGAGTACCTAAGAACGTGCTGTGCCAGTGACGTTCGAGTAGTCGCCCAGGTAACTGTGAAGCACTTAAAGCAACAGCAACTTACTCCATCACAAGTACAGAGGCCAGCAGTCTAAAATCAAGGTGCAGGCCTGACTGTGCTTGCCTAGTAGAGGCTCCAGGAGAGTGTGTGTGGCACGCTTTCCCGGAGTATGATTGCTGTTGGCATCCCAAGGCCTGAGCACCACCATTCCGTTCTCTGTGTTCGCATTGCTTTCTTGTGTGGGTAGTCCCACCAAGATGATCAAGACTGTCTCGCCATGTCAAGCACACTAACTTAGCTGGGTAGTCCGTCGTATCGCTATAAAAGCTTCTTATCTTTGAAGGAGCTTGGGACCTCGCTGTTGCTGAGGATGGCGAAGGTACTTTTCAGGAGAGCTCTGGTTCCTGCCTTGAGCATTGCTTTCTGGCTGCAGTTCAGTTCCCTCCGCCTGCTGGCCCAGATCCTGCACCCCGCTGGCGTGGACTTTCTGGCTTCTACCACTGACCTCTGGACCTTTCCAGCACAGATCTGTGAAGCGGGCCTGCATGAGACACTGTTCCAGGCCTCCAGTTGGATTTGTGGGAGGCACTGTTATGGGCTCTAGGTCTTCAGCCGGACTCATGCAGGACATTACTGTGGGATCCAAGCCTTCAGCTGGAGTCTTTGGTCTTTAATGTGTGGACAGATTTCCTGCACTCTTTGTATATGATTCTTTGGATGATTTATTATAAAATAATCTTCAATAATGTGTCCTGTATTATATTGATGCCTGTGCAAAACCCCCAAACTACGACAACTGATTTGACAGTACTGTTTGATTCTACTGGGTTAGTCTCTCTTCCTTATTTTATGGCTGAGGAAACTGAGGCCCAGAGAAAGGCAATAGTATGCTGGGATCAGCGTAGCAGGCGCATCTGCTACTGAGACAGAGCTGGGTCTGGAGTGAGCAGACAGCTGAGCTGCTGTTGGGCTTGTTCCACAGGCCAGCTGGTGTCCCTGTCCCTGTTCTCTGCTCCACTAAGTGAAAGCTGAAGCTCCGCAAGCCCTGGGAGCATCAAACTGCTCAGCATGCCCAGAAACCTTCCTACAGCTGGCGAACTACACAGCAGCCAGAGGCCCTGGCCAAGGGTGGACACCCTGGCATCTAGCTGTGGACTCAACTTCCATCCCACCACTGCAGTCTTTGTGGTTTGAGTCAGATCTCTCTGGAGACCAATTTTAGCTATGTTTTCTGCATAGTAATTAATTATCTCCTAGGACATAAGACTTGACGACCTGTAGTCATCGTGGCTCAAACAGTGCTCAGTAGTATCTGAGCTCCTCAGCTTGGAATTCCTGGATTCGAAGAACTGACTTTTTTCCTGGCACTCTCTTTCACTTGCTTTATCTCTGAGCTGTACCAGAACCACTGCTTTCTAGCCAGAGGGGCTGGAGGTTAGATTTTGAAGACCTACAGCAAGTGAGTTCATGATTGACCGGCCCAAGAGCTAATGGGATAGAGGCTGGCCATATGGCTTGAAGCTCTCCATGTGGAGAAGTGTTTATCTTTACTAACATAGAACATAAAAGCAACATAGCGGCTGGTAGCAGGTGCCAGTGTGTGGCCAAGTCTTCCAGCCCAGGTGAGCCACCAGGTGTCTGTAGCCACATAAACAAACCCAGCAAGAACAGAAGAAAAAGTGCCGACCTAGGTAGCACCAACTGCCTACCAGAGCGGGGGTAAATGAAATGTTTATTCTTTAACACAGTAAACAAAGAAGAAAGAAAAACCAGCACAGTAAGCCAAGACTTACCTTTGTGCTGTTATGATAGGTTTATACTGTTACTCAGTTGTTCCTTGCTTGCAGTAGACTTCAGATTCTCCTGTCTTGGTATTTTCAATGAAATTCTTAGTTTGTTGTGTTACATATTATCTTTGCATTGTGAGCCTTCTCCCCACTCTGGGGTCTGAGTATATATCTTAATATTTAATGCCACTAGGATTTTATGAGTTTGTTTGTTGGTTCTTCATTCTGGTTCTCACACAACTCTCCTTTTTTCTCCAGTGTCCTGGGACAGTGAGTCAGGAGCCCACAGGACTTTCTCTCGTGTTTTAGTTTGCCCAAGGCTTTCTAATCTCCATTCCTTCACTCTCTACTTCAGTTTCTTTTACTAGACCCACCCCTTGATCTGTCACTTTTAAATCCATGATCATTGCTTATAGAAAACTGGAATGCTGTCGTGTCAGGTTAAAGCCCTAGGAGTACAGGGAGCAGCGCTTGCGCAGCCTGCTGGGAGCTGGAGCGGGAAGGCTGGTTGCCAGCTGCCTGCCGCAGGGCTGTGTTGGGCTGGGTGCTGAGCATGGTGACTGGTCTCCTTCCCCCACCAGGCAGTTGGGGAAGGGAGCCGCATGGCTGTCCTCTCAGCAGGGGCAGGCAGGGGTCTCCGAAGGGGTCAGTGGAGGGCCAGCGCCCTTCCGCAGGTCTCTGTTATACCTCTTCTTCTAATTTCTCAACAGGAATAACTCAAGTCACCTTTATTGGAAATAAATTTGCTGAAATTATTGAAACAGCGTTTCTTGAATTTGAAGAAAAAGGTAAAAATCCTCTAATAAGGGAAGCTCTTCTCCGGGGAGGGATCACTGTTCCTAAAATTCTGCAGTCATGCCCAGGCGCATAGCTAATATTTTAGCCTCTACCTGGTGGCCAAGTTTTCCAGTTAATTCCCCGAACTCGTTGTCAGATGCCTGCCCCAGTCACCCGTGTCTCCAGCTGTGGCTGATGTTGAATGGGGTTTGACAAAGAGGGCATGGCAGGTAGCACTTGGGTCTCTGTGATTGTGGCCTCTCCAGGACCCCTCCTCCTTCCAGGTGGGCATTCAGGCTGCTTCAAGAGTGAAGACATGCATCTTTACACAGCTCCCTGCCACCAGCCCTTTGCTATAAATGCACTAGTCCGAAGGTCACTGTTCTCCGTGTCTGTGTGCTCCGTAGGTCCCCTAGAAGTGCCTCACTCGTCCTTCGGTTTTCTTGGTCACCACCCTCTTGGAAGCGTTGTCCAGCCTTCCCACCCAACAGTGACCCAGCTGTCTGTTACGTGTGTAGTGGGCTTTTTCTTTGCAGGGTACTAATGTGCACGTTGCCAGATTTCCTTTTCTCTCCAGTCCTGGGAAGCAGGGCTGGCCTGAGCGATCACTTCCCATTTTCAGAAACAAGCTCAGATGCTGAAAGTTTTGCTTGCGGCCCCTGCAGTGTGAATTGAATGTGTTTTTTCCCCCTTCCCTTTACCAGCTTGGTCCTTCTCTTTGGAATCTGTGACAAGTTTCTGGGCCGCAAACCTGGATGCACTGTCCCTTACTGGTCCCCTTGTTCTTTTTAGGGGGGAGGGTCTTAACCTTCTTTTGAGACATGCAGTCTTACCCTCTTGCTTTTGAGACATGCAGTCTTACCCTCTCAGGAAGCTTTCTTGTATAAGCAGATGTCTCCTTCCTGAGACCTGCCAGCCAGTTTTGAGACAGTCCTTCTCCCTTAGGGCTCACTTAAATATAGGAGATTTAATTGCTTTACTCAGTGCTGAATTGTCTTACTATGTGAGTACACTGGAAGACACTAAACAGGAATTTGATCATCTTAATGTAGCTGTAGCTGGTGGTGCTTCTCCCCCCTTCCCCCTTTAAATAATTGCAAATGATTCTATCAGTCAAGGTGGCAGAGCACATTAGAATTGCCATGTGGAATTGTTTAGTTAAATGTTATTTTTTTTTTAAAATGGCTCAACTTTAAATTAGAAAGCAGATTGTCAACTGACATTTTGATTTGCCCTTTGAGGATGGAATTGGAAAATAGAGCCATTATCAGAAACTGGATTCTAATCCAGAAGGAGGCTTATTAAGTTAAGAGCAGAGCTTTCAGTGAACCATTGTTTCCTGGAGGAGGTTGTCCTTTCTGGACTCTTGTGTTGGGAGAATTTTTTTTTTTTTTTTTTTTTTTGGAACCGGGGATTTTTTTTTTTTTTTTTTGGAACCGGGGATTGAACTCAGATCCTTGCATTTGCCAGTCAAGTGCTTATCCTACTGAGCCATCTCCCCGGCCTGGGAGAACTTTTTTGTATCTGATCTTGAATCAACATTTATGGGAGACTCTGACCTGGAGTCCCTCAAATAGAATGGTTTCCCAGGGTGTGGCAGGGCTTAAGACCACACACGCTATGTTGGGGACCCTTGAAACACCAATATATAAAAGAAAATCGAATTCATTCTATTATGCTATAATTTGAAGATACTGTCAGGCTTCAGGCTGCCAGCTGTGGCTTGATGCACATAGTATTTTATTATTAAGGTTATTGTTTTAATCACAGAACTGGTGTCTGTGTTACTGTGGATCATAAGAGAAGCAGGCTGCTTAGATCCTAGCTGAGCTTGGCCCCGGGAGCTCCTCTGGCGGTCACACCCTCCTTGAGCTGGCACCACAAGGGGATGAGGGGCATGACTGGCATTGAGGCCAGCTCCCAGCCCCGTCGTTCCACATTTACCTTTCTCCTGGGTCCTCTCCCATTGTCGCGGGGGAGGGTAGCACTTGCTCCTGGTAGAGTCCTGGCAGTTGTATCTTGTAATTAAAGAAAACAAGGGGGTTCTGTCTGAGCACCTTTTCTGCATGCTGTGTTGAGGCAAGAGGTGGGGAGCGTCTAAATCTGGAGAGAAGAGCTGGGAGGCATCACCCCAGCCTCTGCTTCTCTGGCTGGAGGGAGCCAGCCCAAGCGCTCAGACTGTCTCTGTCCTGCTCAGAGCTGGTGCTCACAAGAGAACGCTGCTGCCTGTGCGGCTGCTTGGGAAGGAAGGTCCTCCCTTCCCTTGCGCTACTCAGCAGCTCTAGAGTGCTGCTCCAGTTAGCTTACTTCTCCTCCTCCTCCTCCAGTATTCCAGGGTTTCACCTGGCTGCCAGCTCTCTCAGCCCTGCGAGTGCCTGTGTACCCCGATGTCCTCACAGAGCTGCTTACCTGTTGCCTTAAATGAATCTTCTGGAGTGGCATAAGCGTGCAGGCTGCCCCCAGTCCATCTTCCACCGTCTGCATACTTTATACCTTTTCCACACATCCCCAGCCCTGTTGTTACTTTTTTATTTTGAGACATGGTCTTTCTAAGCCACTGAATTTCCCAGGCTGGCCCTAAACTTGTGGTCATCCTGCTACAGCCTCGCAGAGTGCTAGGATTCAGTCATAAACCTCTATGCCTGGCTGCTTTTTATATTTCTTCCCTGTAGCAGTTAGCAAACTGGAGAATCACCTGAGCACTTCAGGCTTAATGTATCAAAGTTTACCTCCTGCTCTGCAGTCCCTCCTCCTCGTCCTAGAACCTGGGGACTCGGTTACTTCTAATAGCCACTGTCCTGCTGGAAGGCTGGGCGCTCTGTGCCCTGTAAATTACTTGTCCTTTCCTGGTCCCTCGGAGCCCGAACGCTCTGGCTTGGAGTTCTCGCAAATCTTGGGAGCAGCACTTTAGTACAGTGTCAGCTGAAGCTTGAATTTGTGGCAGTTCCTAACTGGTACAAAGCTGGACGTTTTGCTATCAGTTGCTGTTAGTGGGGCTGGGGAGATGGCTCAGTGGAATAAGCGCTTCCCTGACAAGCGCACGGGCCTGAATTCAATCCCCAGTTCCGCTTTAAAAAAAAAAAAAAATCAATTGCTGTTAGCTTAGTTTTCTTTATTAGTTTATTTACACTTGGTTGATTGATAACCTTGTGGTACAGAGGAATGTACCACAGGCTGGGGAGTGGAGAGCTACCTGATGTTGGGTGACTGAGACGGGGAGGGTCAGGGAACCCAGACTTCTGGCTTGGGCCACAGAACTGAGAGGAGTGGGACAGTGGCAGTCAGCGAGCAGAGTGCAGAAAGGTGAGCACACTGGGAAGACAGCACTTGTGCAGTTTGTTCTCCCACTGTTTGTGGACAGAAGCATGGTCAGGGGCTGGGTGAGCTTAGCACACACACACACACACAGCCCTGAAGCCAGGCCACGTCAGCACCACCTCACGTTGGAGTGGGAAGCCATGGGGGCTTTTGAGTTAGAACACTGACATCAGCCTTTGGTTAGTGAAATCCTTCAGACTGGAGATTGAGGGATCCCTTGAGTGACAGTCCACAGGGTTGCAGCAGCAGCAGCAGCAGCAGCAGCAGCAGCAGCGTGAATTACAGGTACCTGGTGCGTGTAGTACAGGTTCTGGAGTCATCAGAGAAGCAGAGTGCTCAGCCCTCAGTGAACTGTCAAGCATGTGTGGGTGGGCTGCAGTGGGGGAGAGAGTTGAGGCCAGCGGGGAAGGCCCTCCCTTTTCTGGGTGACTGGGTTGCTTAGCCAGCAGTGGCCCCCCACCGATCTGAGTAGATCAAGGCCATGACAACCCGGAAAATGAACCTGCCGGTGAGCGTAGGGCAGGATCGATAAACATTATCTTCAGTGTACGGAAGCCTCTTGTTCTGTGCTTTTTGCCCAAATTATCCTCATTGACTGTTCAGTTTGGTGAATAAATTGAAAGTTCAACAAAAACGAAAGTGTTTAAATTAAAGAACAAATATTTATTGCTTTGTTACTAACAAGCCAACTCCAACACTCAAGTTCATTGTTAATTAATAAACTCATTCTCTTCCCCTTACCCCAGAACTCACCTTAGGCAACTCCGGAGACCACTGGCTCACTATTATGTAAATATTTGATAGCAGCTTAGCTTACTCCCCTACTTTTTGCAGAATATTTGGATTTTGCCAGCAATCAGAAGCCTGCAGTGAAGTGCAAATGATAGGCTTGGAGACACTGCAGTGAGTTCTGGATCCCAGCTCCCTCTGCCTGCCTGCCTGCCATGGCCACCTCGCTGTCCTTGAAACTTCAGGCTGTTCCTGCCTGGTGGCCTTGTTTTCCCCATGTCCTTCCCGGCCCCACCCTTCCCTCCGTGTCCTCCCTGTTTGCCTGCATCTTCCTGGCAGGCATCTGCTGTCCAGGCAGGCAGGCAGGCAGTCCTGGCGGTGCCCTCTCGTCCCCTCCTCTTGCTGTGCACTGCTTTGCCTTCCCAGTGCTTCACATCCTAACGTCTTACATTACTCCTCGTCTGTCTCCCTCAGTGGACTGACTATGCACTCCATAAGATTGGGAACTTTGCCTGCTTCTTGTCCTGCCCCCACTGCCAGGATGGAGTACCTAGCATATCACGTGTGCCTTGTGTTTGGTGAATAGTGAATGATCTGCTGGACCAGTCAATTAATCAATCTGTCTGTGTATCGCAACAGTTCATCAGTGTGGCCTGTGGTCGGTGCTCAGGAAGTGTCTGAATGTGTGAATTAGTGAGTGAGTCTGTGTGTGATTAGTCCCTAGTGCTTCGGTGCTCAGCAGGCATTTGTTGAGTGAGTGAATGAGTGAGCATGCTTCCCCGCCTTTCTCTAGGACCCCAGTTTGTTTATTGGAGGAAGGCCTAGATGTACAGTTTTGGTACATAGGATTGCTCTTCCTTTTCCTTAGTATGTCTGCCATCTGCCAGGCTCTGTAATTAACCTACTATAATTTAGCTTTGAGATGAATTCTCATTCTAAAGAGGCTGTAAACAGCTAGTACTTC